AACCTTCAACAAATAAAATAAAAATATTTATTTATCCCGATTTCAAAAGGCCGGATAAAACTGTATAGCAAAATAATCAGTTAGTTATGTGCTACGCATGAAATACCCTTAAGCGATCATGTATCTTTCGCTACATGACTGACGAGGCAGATTTTTTCCCACAGTGGGTCGCCATTTTTTTCTGTCTTAGACCAGTTGCCATCCAAGTCTATAGAACTCGTACTGTCCTGCTATTTACTCATAGCTTGGAGTGGGGGGGGGGAGAAAAAGTGGATTCATACCTTTCCCAAGGGTATTAGCACGTAAGTGAATGCAGTGAATTCGACTGGAATTCGAACTCGGCTCTCCGATTACTCAAATCCGAGCCGCTATCCATTACTCCACCGTGCCAAAATAATCACAGTTTCATAATTCGTTTTTTTTAACGCTCTGTAAGCAACTAGAAGTCACAGTGGAGTAATGTATATTAGGGAATCGGAGTCGAGTTCATTAAAACCACTTACATGATAATACCCTTGGGAAATATATGAATTCACTCCCAAGATATGGGTAAATAGCAGGACAGACTAACTTCTATAACCTTTGGTGGCAACTTGCCTAGGAGAAAGAAACTACTCTGAAAACAACAATCAGCCTGGATAGAGTTGAGCTTTGTCAGGCTATATGGCCCAGGAAACACAACTGCTTCTGCGGAGGCAGGACATGGGGTGTCTCTACGACTGTAAATATTTACGGGTTTAAAAAAAAAATGAAACATAGGAAACTTATAGATCTTCATTAATCAAAATTTGTTATGTTGGCCATGATATAAGACACATTAATGTAGTCCTAAATAATAAAACAGCATATATTCGATTTCCGTCTTTTAAGTAATATTGGCACCAAAATGCACATAGACAAACACACTTTACGCTTAGGGGCCAAATATAAAGTGGTCTTAATAATCGAAGTGTTTAAAGTTTTCTTTATGTGCAATAAATGTAGCTTCTGAATAATAGATGAGTTTAAAGAGTTGTAATATGACTGTTAGATGAGTTGGAAAATTTCCTAAAATGAAATAAACGTCACCCAATCTATTAGGTATATAAAAACAACACACATATATATATATATATATATATATATATATATATATATATATATATATATATATATATATATGTAACTAATATGCAAAATTTCGAGCAGACAGACAATAAATACTTCTATCCTGGTTATGACGACAAACTACACGCGCGTCCTGGTTAAGACGATAAACTGCGTTCAACAGCAAGGCCTCTGGTCAGATTTTGAGGAGCGTGGAACCAGGCAAAGGATGACTTGTTAATTTTAACGCCTCTAAAACTAAGCTGCTCTCTATTAATCAGTTGAGAGAGAGAGAGAGAGAGAGAGAGAGAGAGAAAGAAAGAAAGAAAGAAAGAAAGAAAGAGAGAGAGACCTTTCTGTCTTCCATCAGAATGGCCGATGCTAATCTCCAGCAGAGTGATTCATTGCGCCTTCTGGGTTTAATGTTCCCGGCTGACATGAAGTTGAAAGAATATTTTGAAAGATTTTTTTTATGTTTATACGTTCTGTTTATATTGAATCCATTGCAAAGACAGCTGCTAATAAAGTTGTTTCATAGTGTCAAGCTAGACGATTTTTCTCTTCAGCATCTATCTTACATATCTATTCGTCCATGCTTAGAATATTGCAATTATATATGGTCCGGTGCTCCTGCTATATATCTAGAGATCAAAGAAGAATCAACAATATTATCAGTCCTGATCTAGCATCTCGGCTTCAGTCACTTTCCGACCACTGTAAATTTGTTTCCATTTGTTGTTTCTGTAAATACTTTCATGGTAATTGTCTGGATGAGCTCTTCGCAATGGTACCTAGATTTTATGAGCGAAGTACTAGAATGGCAATGACGTCACATCGATATACACTTGAGTTGGTTAGATGTAAGCGTAAGTTGTATGCTACCAATTTCTTTTCCCGCAATTCTCGCTTGTGGTGCTCTCTTCCGTCGCCATGCTTTCCAACCAACTTTAATCTGCAAATAGTTAAAAGCAAAGTCAATCGCTATCTACAGTCCTCTTGATTACTCTTCTTCTCTATTCGCTCCTTTGTGGTGTTTCTGCTTTCGAATTCTTTCACACCCAGTAACCCCTTGTGTCTTAGAGGCTTTACTATCTTCCTTTATATGAACTCGATTAAAAATAAAAGTGAATGCCAAAAGGTTTTAATGTGAAGAACGAGTTAAGATTTACGAAAAGGATGTTTTAATTTGATCAAGATAAACTGTACCGTTCCCAAGATTGACAATATGGCCAAGGACGCATTCCAAAAGTTGGACAGAGTGTTGCGAGACAGAAGGATATATATATATATATATATTTTTTGTTTTTGTTTTTTTTTGGTAACAAAGAAAAGATTACGGGACATCTGTCCTCTTTTACGGCAGCGAATGTTGGACAGTCTCCTCAAAGATGAAGAAGAGACTCGAGGCAAAAGATGTATTGAACTAACGCCTTTATCCACTGTGCCATGTGTCCTCAAGGACACATGGTACAGTGGATAAAGGCGTTGGTTAGATCCAGTGACAGGACCCAAAGTGTGTGAGTTCAATACCCGGTTAAGGCAGTGGAGAACTTTCAGACAGAAATTAATAGGAGATAACTGATAACTAACATCCATCAAACATGGCACGTGGAACTAGAACAGTCTACCCCAGTGAGCGAAATAAAGAGTTCAGTTTGACATTCCAACCACCTGAAGAAGGCCGGAGCGTACAACGGCCGAAACGTTGTGATAAATGTGGCGACAAAGATGAGGACAATAGTCCGAATAATGTAAATAATATATCTCAACATATTCTTTAATGTGCCGTCTCTCTTCAGGCCATCAATGTCCATAGCTTTCCACAACAGTTTCTCCCGTGTTGCTCGAAATAACACTTTACTGTTTACGGCCCGTCTCTGCCCTGTTTAGCTGTTGTCCTCCCAGTGTCTATTGTTTCCAATATTTCCTTTGACTATTTTAGATTCACCAGGCCTTTTTCATTATGTTTCCCAGAACTATCATACATCTCATTTTGATTGTAAGTATACGTTCCCTTGTAGCTCGCATAGTCATACTTTGTCATCGTAGTATTTACTAAATTCAATATACAGGATATCCCAATAAAGTTAACACCATTTAAAATGGGAATATCTGTGTAACTCAATGTTTCAGGAAAACGAAATTAAGTAGGCTTCATGTTGAACTATAAAAGATTTATTTGTCAAAATTCGAACAAGATATTCAAAGGGGTGTAGGTTTTATAATCGATTTCACATAACTTCACAAATGTTCAATATGCGCACCATTTTGACACGACACGTCAAGTCGGTAGACCAGCTCCTGCCAAACACGCTGTAGCATGTCTTGCGTAACATTCTCCAACGCTTCAGTAATTCTCTGCTTAAATTCCCATAGGCTTGTAGGAAGAGGAGGATATAGACATGTCTTTTCACATAGCCTATAGAAAAAAATCACAAGGTGTCATGTCAGGTGTATATGGTGGCCATTTCAACAGCACATTGTTATTATCACTGGAAGGCCCGTCCATTTTCGTGATATACTTTCATTGAAATAAGTCCACACAGTCAACTTAGTTCGTTTTACACCTTCTTCTAAAATATGAACAGAACTGGCGATGTTATTAGAATACAAACGGATGTCATTTGTATATATATTTTTAAATCATTGAAACATGTATTTAGCGGAGAAAACTTAATATAGGGTTGAGCTAATACACAGTTTTCCTTGTTAGCTGACATGGAATCTTGTTTGGAATTTTGTTTCCAAACATGGCCTGAGGATGAGACTGTCACCCGGTAGATAGGGTTTAATATTGAATGACTGGTTTCGAAACATTAATTATAATCTAGCCTCTACTTCTGTATTGAGCACTGCTTTTAAAAACAAAAATACTAAATAACTTAGGATCCTCAATCTAACAGTTCTTTCCTATTATATCAACACACACACACACACACACACACACACACACACATACATATATATATATATATATATATATATATATATATATATATATATATATATATATATATATATGATATGTCCCGGAAAGGGATATATTTGTTCGAAGTAGCAAAGTGGTTTTGGACTCCTGTAACGGGGTAGGACAATCTAGCAGGTAACCGTAATGGACTGGTCCTCGTCGTAGTGGTAGGCAATAGGGGTAAGCAATAGGCGTCGTCCATGTACCTCCACATCAGTCAGTATTTATGGCTGACACCAGCCAATCATATTACTGAGAGGGAGAACCAGGTGTATGCATATTCATTACATCAATATATATACGCTAGATTTGGCTGACTCGTTCTGTCGAGTGAAGGTGGCTCAGTGGCAAAATCTCTGACTAACACCAAATCGGTTGGGTATTGATCCGAGCTTGAGGCATTCGGTTGTTTAGTCGCACTAAGGAGCTGTGATACAAGGAAACATTACTGTCTGCAAATGACATGTATATCTTTTAAATAATGCACTAATTTGTTCTGAGTTTTATCGGATTTTTTTTTTACTTTTTATCACAAAATGATATTTAAAAATTATGATTGCCAGTACTTCACCTAATAATGTTTAACTTTTTGTAGCTGTTGTTTTAGACGACATTTTTGGGGGGCAGGGGGGGGATTTTTAAGATTTAAATGTCGCTTACACATCAAAATATGCAGTATTTGTCGTAGTCTAGTATTAAAAGCAGTAGTGTAGCTGTCGTAGTAAAAAATTTCCAGTATATTTGAAAGTTATTAAATAATAAAATCACGTGGAAACTCGAAACAAAGACGACGTTGTTTCTGTTTGAACTTATTTTAATTAATATCTTCCATTCAGTTTTACATAATATTCTTTTTTAAATTTTTAATAAATTTTTGTTGTTTGATTTGTTTTCGCATTTCTTTCATATTTAATATCCATTTGATTTCGTTTTTAGTCTTATTTTTATGCGTTTTATCCAGATGGCGTCTTCCTGCAGGCGTCTTTCTGGACAGTCCCGAGACAAAGCGAATGGCGTCATTTCCGGATTAATAGATTCGCATTGTCAAACAGGAACGCCCGTTTCTCACTTCTCACTTTCATTCTTTCTCGTCTCATCTCGCCATTTTCTTCTCTGCATCTATACTTCTCTCTTTCATTCTCTTCCTTTACTCTGTCCCCCACCCTCATTCTTCTTCTTCTTCTTCTTCTTCTTCTTCTTGATATTTCACTTTTATCCTTTCTTTTTTATCTCGCTTTTTTCTATTCTACATCTACAGTTCTCTCTTATTTCTTCTTTCTTCACTTTGTTTACCTCCCATCCTCTTTCTCCCTCTCCCACTTTCTCTCTCTTCCTCTCTATATACACACACACATACACACACACACACACACATATATATATATATATATATATTAAAATTTTAACCAGCACTGAACAGATCATAGACTCATACGCATGGGCTCACAGCATACACACATAATGGCCAGATACACTGTTCGGACCGCACACATACATATACGCGCACACAGATATCCATGGAGAACAATAATATATATATATACATACACTGGCCAAAACGCATAGACTACTCACGGGCACACACACGAACACAAGAAGAATGTTTGTATCTCTGTGTGTATATGCGTGTGGGTGTGTATGTATGTGTATATATATATATATATATGCATATATTCGTACGCCGATTCCTAAGCCAGTATCTATATATGGGCAGGGAATTTACATATGCAGGCTAACAGGGATATGAAGACATCTCTCATTAACACATCTATTATCACCAGCTCTTGTACCAAACTTAATGGTTTTATTAACACTTACGCACAAATTCACTTTTGTCAACAGTCTAGAAAAGAGTTCAAGGCTCACTAACAAATACAGAAAACGAACAATCGGACGTTAAAAGAACATAAGGAAAAATTATTCCTTTTAAAAAATTATTCCTTTTATATGCCTGAAGAAGGTCACGAGACCAGAAACGCGTTTAGCAGAAATATGAAGAATAAAATACCTCTATCGGTAAAAGGCAGGATGTGTGTGTGTGTGTGTGTGTGCGCGCGCGTGTGTGTGTGTGTGTAACGAATGCACGGCCGCAATTTTCGACGGATTTGCATCAAAATTTACATGCACATGCTCCAAATTAGCGGGAAGGCCAAGACCGACTTTTTTTCATTTCCCAACTCCCTTCAATAGTGGAAATAATCGATTTTTTCATGATTCTACGGCAGTTTTCAAGTAATTTGCGACCATTTTCTACTGGCCAGCGTGAGAGTCAACAACTGACTGACACGAATATTAACTAACACGCAAAAAATCGATAGCAGCATTCGTCACAAGTGGAAAAAAAATTAAATCTGCATTTTACTCCAATTGGCTCATTCGCTTGCTTAAACACAACGTTGATTCTGATTCCGCAGAACTGGGTTGGGTGTGAAAAAGTATTTTTGTCAACATTCTTTTTTCATTCGGTTTTTCCAGTTACGAGTCCTTTTTTTAAAGCTGATCGTTTTGTGTTCATTTTGTTTACTTCTTTTTTCGGAACAGATTTAATGTTTAGTATAGAGCTTAGAAAAAATTCGCAGTGTGAGATAGGCAAGAAGTAAGGCATGTAGCAACATCAGCACGGCAAAGGGCACTCCTTTAAAGGCAAGGAAGGGCAAAAATTTTTTAAGTCAAGTGATAGCGATTGCAGTATGAGTCGTACGATTTTTGAATCAAGCACGGGCAACACCGGGCCATGCTGCTAGTAATATATATGCTAAAACAAAAACGTTTCCTGTTTTTCGCATTTTTTTAAAATATAGATTTTTGTCTTGTTGGAACAACTATATCCTATTTCCTTATAAAGTACATCAGAGAACGAAGCGCATCGGCTACGTTTTTATTTGTGTTTTTATTCATATATATATATATATATATATATATATAGAGAGAGAGAGAGAGAGGGTTTATAAAAATGGGGTTATCGTTATTTTTCAAGAATGATTGGAAATTATTTAAGGTTAAGCTTAATGTTACATCTAAGAAATCTACTTGTTTTGTTACAATTATTTTTAACCTTGAGGTGTAAAGATTTAAACACTCCACAGACCAGTCAACATTAAACACCCAATCCATTCTTCACCAAACTGCTATCAAGAAGCACTATTGTTTCACTCCGTTACCATTTTGTTATGTATATTTTTCTTCTCAAACAAATGGAAAAATGAAGTGACATTTCACCCACGGCTTGCCTAAAAGCAGGATTGTTCCTAATCATTTACGATTCTCACCCGTCGAAGTGCAGTTAAAATGCACTGAAACGAAGTTGCAGCTTTGTAGTGAGTAAAATGGTTTTATCTATATGATAAAATTATAATAAATAAATAATTATCGCTTTACTATCGGTATCGAGCCCTCTTTTGGATTAATGCTGTGAACGTTGAAATTTATATAGTACTTTCGTTCTCATCGCATCTGATATATATATATATATATATATATATATATATATATATATTTATTCTCTCAGTCTTGCCTACCAGTTCCCTTATATGTAGTCACTTATTTTCTTCTTCTTCTTCTTCTTCTTCTTCTTCTTCTTCTTCTTCTTCTTCTTCTTCTTCTTCATGTAATGTCTCTTCATGACATCGGCGATCATGGCTCTCTACAATTTCCTGTCCTTTGTAGCTCTTAACAACTTTTTGTCTTTTTGCCATCTCTTCCCAACCTTGTCTTGCTATTCATTCTCTCAGGCTTGTTAGTTAGTTTACGCGTTACTTTCCTTTGTCTCTCTTAACTTTATCCTGTCAATTTAGTATGAAATTTTCCAATCACTCTTTCCTCATTATGTGACCCAGGAATTTCAATCACGTATCCCCGTGATTGCATCTCTTTCCGCATTCACGATAACCCCGTCTCTCGTTTGGTTGTCACGTTACAAACGACATTTCTTCAAATATTAAGTATAGTTAGATATTTTCCGGAAATATTGTGTATATTATTATATTGTTTTTATTATTTTATCTAAAATAATGTGATTTTTATGAAAGTTTCCAGGAAAATGTTCGATTAGTAGCAAAATTACCCAGATAGAAAGAAGAGAGCATGCAGAAAATGTCGGTGGTCAAGCTAGTTTCCTGATTGGTCAATTCTATAAAAAAAAAAAAAAAAGAAGACTTCATACAGCTTCCATATAAAGTACAGTTTCCTCTGCTTTCGTTGATTTGTAGATCTTGATTCAGAGTCTGATTTCGTCTGCACACATAAAAATTGAAGGCTGTCACCTCGACGGAAGCCATATTGGCGTAAAAGCAACCGTTTACAGCAAAACAACGCAGACATGTTGTTTGGATAGCAGCCATTTGCAATTCTGCTAAAAGTGAACCCTGTTATATCGTTCAAAGAGCATTACTTCCATAAACAAAACAGCCACCTAATAGTAATAAAACTCCAAACAGAGCATCAATCTACTTGGACACAGATACAAGTTAATTCATTATTAATTGTCTATGAATTCCAGAATAAAACAGCTCCAACTAAAATCCAAACAAAGCGAATTTTCTTTTTTTTAATTCTTTAGTTTTACTCTTTCTTTTAGATTGTATCTCGTTTTTACGTCATTTCCATTGCATCATTCTTCAGTCTTTTGTACTTTTCATTGTTTATTTATCAAAGTCTGTGTTTTTATTTCCTTCCTCTTCTCTTTCTCTCTTTCTCACTCTACCACTTGTTACCTTTTCTTTTACATCTACTCCCTTCCTTTAATCAATCTATCTACGTGTTTTTCTGACTGTTTGTATTTTACAATTTACTAGGCTTAACGTACACTGAGAAAGGTTCAAAATGGCTGATGTACGGTCAGAATCGAAATCAAAAATCTATCTATCTATCTATCTATCTATCTATCTATCTATCTATCTATCTATCTATCTCAGTCTGCTGATATCTATCTATCTATCTATCTATCTATCTTAGTTTATATCTATCTATCTCAGTTTATATCTATCTATCTATCTATCTATCTATCTATCTATCTATCTCAGTTTATATCTACCTATCTCAATTTTTATCTATCTATCTATCTATCTATCTATCTATCTATCTATCTATCTATTTGATGATATATAAGGCGCCACTTTCGCACAAAAATATCCGGAGATATTGATAGACTATTGTATACTTGTACTATTAACTAGCATAAGACCATCTCAAAGAAATGTAAAGTGAACGATCTTACATGCCCGTAAATAAGATATCTATCAATCTATCTATCTATCTATCTCATGTAGCATCCGAGATGAAAAAATATAATGCGAATCGAAATATGTTTTTTTTTGTTTTTTTTTTAATGTGTTATTGATAAGGGATACAAACTTTACAAAACTACTTTTTGTATTAATGATTCATTGTAATATAAATTGATCTACACCACATATTTGATTTAAAAGAACTGATCCGACGTGAAAAGTTTCGGGATAACAACTGAGACATTACCCTATTTATTGAACAATTTAGTTCATGCCACATTGACTGACGAACTCCTACAACCAAAAAAAATCTCAAATTGCTATATTAGTAAAAAACGCGCTCACTTAAATTTTTAAAAAGAATTCAACCTTAGCGTTGTGACTGCACGCTTCAAAAGATTTTATCCGTTAATAATAACACAAAAAAAAACATATTTCGATTCGCATTATATTTTTCGTCTCGGATGCTACCTGAATTTTACCAAAAACAAAATAATTTCCATATCTTAAGATGACTGAATGTACAGTCGAAAGTACTTGCGTATTAAAGAAAGACCTTATACAGCTTATAATTTTTAAAAACAAGGATCATAACATTGATCGAGTGATTTGTAGGTTAATGCATCTTTAAAATTTTGTTAGCAAAGGATTTCGCCATTTTATTTAACTTTACTAATCTACTTTTTGCATGAATGATTCATTGTAATATAAATTGAACTGCACCACATATTATATATATATATATATATATATATATATATATATATATATATATGTATATATATATATATATATATATATATATATATATATATTTATTTATTTAAAAATATGATTTAAATAATTCATTATATTTATGCTCTTTTGTATCGAGCACGATTTTTAAAAAATAACAAAAATACTAAAAACTTTGGATTATTTACCTAACGAGTTCTTTCCTATTTTCTATATATTTTTTTCACACACACACACACACACACACACTCACACATATATATATATATATATATATATATATATATATATATATATATATATATATATATATATATAGAATCTCTTGTCGTGGACGATAAATGAGGGATAAGTAAAATAGAGAGGCACTCAACTTCTATGTACACACATGTCTCCGGAGGCCTGCAGGTGATTTAGAAACTTTTGGGCAGATAGGACAATTGCCACATGTTTCCACATTGTACAACAAAGACAAGTATACACAAAGCTAATATGGCAGGTAAGTGGCTATTACTGAGAGGATCATGTTCCAGGCGGCATCGTTCAAAACTTTCTAAAGACGAGAAACAAAACTGACACCAGCTACTTCGCTCTGACGTTTTCTTTTAAAAAGAAGGAAAGGGTATGCTGCATTGCTTCGCATTGTCTTTATATATATATATATATATATATATATATATATATATATATATATATATATATATATATAAAAAAGAACATAGAAGTCAACACTTAGAGGCGTATATATATATATATATATATAAAACGGCCGATAAAATAGCAGCACACGTGGCCTGCGGATTGCATCTAGCATGAAACAGACTGTCGCCTCTAAGTGTTGACTTCTATGTTCACTTTTATATTTACACACGCTGTATCTCTGATATTGAGCACTTTATCCCATGAATATAGCACATCTTAAGACTATATTTCTCGTCAGGTGTTATCAGCAACTAATGTTTTTTATTTTTCATGCAATTTAATTTTTATATGCACTTTTTATTGATGTAATGTTTTTGTTAGTGCTTGTATGCATGTGTGTGTTAGTTCGTTCGCCTCGGCTCATGAACCCAGCGCGCATGTGCATACGTGTTATGGTTATTTGACATTTTCAAGGTTTTTTTTTTTTCTTACTTTACAGTCACTCCTTATTTGCATTTTACCTTTTCTCTGTTTTTCATTTTTCTTCTTTTTTTTTTTCAGATGTAGCTCTTTAGAGTTCCGGTTTTCCAGACATACTATTCTTGTTAATTCTGAACCTTCTAGTATTTTCATGAGTTAGGAAAATTGTATATTTTCGACATAAATTATTTTGTATTGCTTATATATATATATATATATATATATATATATTTCGAAAGTATAAACATACATTGAATGATTATAAAATTAGTGTATATTGTAATTTCAAAATTGTTCAGTATGTACATAATCAGGAATGTTTTTCTATAATTTTTAAGGGTTTAAAAAAGAAAATACAAGAAAGTTATCATCCGGTAAAGTTTATATAATTTTGGGGGACAATTTTTATTCTATACACACACGCATACATACATGTATATATTAAAAATGGATTTTTCATTTATTTATTCGAAGTATTTTAATTTATTGCTTAAACGTTATTTTTAATGGATAC